TCGGGGACCATATGGGATGCTGAGAATCGAACCCAGGTGAGCTGTGTGCAAGGCAAACGCCCTACCCTCTGTGCTATTGCTCCAGCACCTCTGTTTCCATTGCTATTTGAAAGGGCCTCTTTCAAAATGCCCTTGCCTGGAGTTCTCTGCATACAGAAAAGTTAATCTGAGTGTTGCTGCCTTTTCTGGGTAGTAGGTGGGGAGAGACCATTCAGGTGAATAATAAAACTTAATTTTTTTTTGGGGGGGTGGTTGGGGCCACACCTAGTGGTTCTTAGGAGAGTTGACTGGGATACAAGGCAGTGTCTTAATCCTTGTACCATTTCTTCAACCCAAGGTAATGATGTTTTATTTATTTTTGGTTATGGGTCACGCCTGGGCTTGAGGGACTATATGGGGTGATAGGGGCAGACCAGGGTCAGTTGTGTGCAAGGCAAGTGTCACAAGTCCATACTATCTCTTTGGCCAGTGATTATATTTTTATTTATTTATTTATTGCTTTTTGGGCGAGCTGGAGCGATAGCACAGTTTCCCAAGTAGCATTAGAAGTGCCCTCCCCCCACCCCAAGCACAGGGCCTAGAGTACGGCTAGGCATACTCCGAACTCTCACCCCCCCAAAAAAGATCCCACATATTTACACCAAATATGTAATGACTACAGTAGTTAAAAACTGCATATAATTCAATAGCCATTGACAAATAAGTGGATAAACCAAATGTGGTACAACTACATGAAGGAATATTATATAGCCGCAAATAAGAACGAAACACTAATACATGGTGTTCCATGAATAAACAATGAAAACTATCGGCTACAGAGAACAAAGTAAGTAGTAAAGTCATATAACATCTGGCTAAGAGAACCAAATCAGTAAGGTCACATACTGGGTCATTTCATTTATATAACTGTCCAAAATAGGTAAATGGAAAGAGACACAAAAATTAGTGACTGTCCAGCAACAGAGCTGCTGTTAATGGTTATTACCTCTCATTTTGGTATGTGAAAGATGTTTCAGAATAATGAGAGTGGCTACATTTTCTTGTGAATACAATATTTATAAGTCAATGACTCATAAACTTTGAAAGGGTGAATCTGATGTGCAAATGATACCTCAGTTTTTTATAAAGGAGGCAGATGTTTATACTTGCACTGGATCTTAAAGGACACGTGCATTGGGAAGGCAACAGTGAGAGGGAAATTCTAGGTAGAAAACAACGAGAAAAGGGATGGATGCCAGAAGGAAAACAACACATTAGAGGAAATGAAAGTGACTCAGGTGGTGGAGTATACATGGGAGTGGCAAACTGAGGAGAGCGCCAAGGGACAAATAATGGAACTAATCCACTAATCAAGGAGAAGAGCTCTCTTCAGGAGAACCACATCATTCCCTGGAGAATGACAAAACTGAACTGCTCGGCACAATCCTTCCTATCAAAGATGCCTCTTCCTGTGAACTCATTCATTGACCAAATCGCCCACACTGTGGAAAGCCCAGTAGTTACTTGATCACTATTTATAAGTTTTTTTTTGGGGGGGGGGTGTTCAAATATGGTGATGTTCAGGGCTTACTTCTGGCTCTGTACTCAGGGATCTCTTCTGGTGGGGCTTAGAGGACCACAGAAGGTGCCAGGAACCGAATCTGGGTTGGCTGTGTGCAAGGCAAGCACCCTACCCTCTGTATTATCTCTCTGGTCCCAACAATTTACAAAGTTTATTTATTTACAATATAAATCATTCTAATTTTTTTTCTCCCCGCCAGAATATAAGCTCCTTGAGGGAAACCCTGTTCCCAATCTTGAGTATGCAAGTGCAAGTACAGGGTCTCCTGTGGAACTCAAAAGATGTGCAACAAGATTGGCAATCCTTACCAGATTCTGTCTGAGTTCTCTGACCCCTGGAAGACCATTGCCCACACGGTCACCCTGTCATCCTGGAAAGTCCTGCTAATCCAAAGCATACGAACTCTGCCATCCTGTGTGGTCTATTCTGAACATCACTCCTTCCTTCACTCCTCCCGAAGGCATCTCTTATTTCCCTTGTCATCTGGCTCTGAACTCCCCTTCTATTTATTGTTTGGGCCACACCTGATGGTGCTGAGGAATCACTTTTGGTGGGCTTGGCAGATGATATGGAGATGCCAGGGATTAAACCTGAGTCCAGCTGCACGTAAAGAAAGCGCTTTACCCACTGTACTCTTTCCAGCTTCTTTCTCCCCTCTTTTGTTCTTTCACTTTTTTTTTGGGGGGGTCACACCCAACGATGCTCAGGGCCTACTCCTGGCTCTATGCTCATAAATCACCCCTGGTGAGCTTGGGGGACCACATGGGAGGCTGAGGATCAAACCCAGGTCAGCTACAGGGCAAACTCGCCATCCCTTGTACTATCACTCCAGCCTTCTCTCTTCTTTCTAAAGGGGGTATTTTGCACTTTCCTCAGGTACTGATCTGCTATGATTCGGTATTCCTCTCCTATCAGACAACCTTGGCCACACATCGTTTTAATCTAAGCACTGTGGAATAAGTCTGTATCTCTCAGCCTTGTCTCCCAACAAAATGCTGGGCAGAGTTAGACCAGAACTGTTCAACAGGCAGTGAAAATCACAGAACTGGAGAGAGAAATCAGCATCGTTACTTAAGGGTTTTTGGTTTTTGCTTTTTAAATTATAAAAGAAATGACACAAAACAGGACAGAGAGACAGAGAGTATATGTTGAGCCCATTTGTGACCAACTGGCTGGTTTTGATTTGGTCACTTTCATCACATGGATTTCATTTTGCTTGAGCACCAGAAGACTCAGACAAAGAGTAATGGCCTCCCAGCTGCTGTGTTCCCAAGTCTGTGGTTTTCCTGTGATATAAACAAAAGACTCTGGAGGTACAGTCTCTGTTAATATTTGCTGGCATGAGTCCGGGGGAGAGATGGGGTGGTGGAGATGTGGAGGGGGTAGGTTTGAGGGAAATCCACCTAATGAACTGTCAGTTCATATAAGCAACACCTGCAGTGTTAAACACCTCCCCTCCAACTGTTATTTTACTGGGGGGGAAATTCACTCTTCCTTTGGTAAATGCAATCCCCCCCACTCCCCCCAACATCTGCATTCCAGTCTAAATTGTGTGGTGGCTCAGGAGAGATGGCAGCTGGAAGAGATCGAGTGCAGGATGTCGTGAATGTTCACCAGCAGCTCGGGGATAGTCAGAGCCCACAATGCGAGAATCTTCAGCACCCCGCGCCTTGATGAAAATGGATTAGCTTCCATTTGCTTACTCAGAGTGTCCTGCTTGTAAACACAGCGTCTACTGGAAATACACATCCACATCGGATGGGCGAGAGAGAGAGAGAGAGCGCTGGTCTCTGGACCAACTACTCAATACTCCCCCCCACCCCCCCGCCTGCCGTAGCTTCAGAAAACTCTCTCGCCTAATTTGGATTTTAGTCTTATTTTTGTTTAATATTTGTAATTGACTACAAAAACTAAGCTTGGACCAAGTCTGCCTACGCAGCATGGCCGCTCCGACCAACGAGGAGAAGGGCCCTAGCATGAGGAACAAGACACCAAGGCCGCTTCCTACTGGGCTCCCCTCAGGCCAACCTGGACGCAGATTCCCCCATTCTGCAGACTGAAGAGCTAACTCGGGCCCAGGGCTTAAGGCACTTCTCCAACACCAGAAAAAATGGGAAGAGTGAGGGCTGCCTGTCTCCAAAGCCAGGGCTTTCCACCATGCTCTGCTACCGGCCAGTACACCCGGGTGGAGGGGGGAGGTGGTGGATTCTCGCCTCAGAATTTGAGAGAATGCGCCCAGAGCACCTATGCCTCTGGAAAGGGCACTGGCAAACTTTTATTTTTTTTTTGCATGAAAGGCCAGATAGACAGACATTTTATGAGTCATTTTATGGCTTGTGAACCACAGGGTGTCTCTGCCTGTTGCAATTACTTAATTTTGCTATTAGAGCACAAAAGCAGCCACAGAGCATATAGGAATGGAAGGACACAGCAGTGCTCCAGTAAAACTCGGTTAACACAAACAGGCAGTAGGCCAGAGCTGACCTGCAGGCCCTGGTGTGCCTGCTGCTGCTATAGAAACTTCTACAGTGGGCGGCTCTGTATTGTTGGATGTGGAAATTGATAGAGCTTTGCCTATTCCTGGAGGGAAGGGTGCAGTGATACAGTGCCTCTCAAACATAAAAACAAGGCTGGGTGGGGGGCCGGGGGGCAAGGGGAAGGATCGCTTACTTCTAATTAATCAACAAACATAAGAGTTGTCTATATTCTATATAGTCCACATACTGAAAGAATTTACATGATGGTATGATGACTTATGAAAGCTAAGAAAGCAGGTTAAGGTGTTTGCCTTGCATGTGGCAGACTCTGGTTCGATTACAGGCACCAAGTGTGATCCTCGGGTACCTCAGGACCCCTGAACAGAAAGTCAGGAGTGACCCATGAGCACTGCTGGGTGTGGCAGAGCCTGCCTACTTGTCCCAAGAAGAAAAGTGCATCCTTTTGAAAAGAATGAGACAGGCGCATAAAAGTGAAATAGCAGCATCAGGTCCCATGTGGTAAGTGCCGAAGGAGGGGACTTGAAGGCCCAAGGGCTGATGGATGGATCGCCATGATTTTAGGAACACCAGGGTCTACAACTTAATCAAATTATCCTGCATTGGCACAGAAGCTCAGAAAGCAGGAAAAAGCTCTCAGTGGCCAAGAAGGAAGATGAGTCAAAGTGCCATCGGGATCACCCAAAACATCCAGTCTGGCGAGACCACATTAAGGCTGAATTTCAGCACATGTCACAAGTTAACTGAAGACAACATCAGCTTCAGACCTGCCAAACACATCTTCTCCAGGTCCATTCTCCAGGGACGAGCAACCACCCAGAGCTAGAGGGAACTCCTGAGAAGGCTGCTCCCGTCTCAGCCCGGCTGGCCCTTTGGATCCATACGTGCAGACAAGGGCTGAGAAGCCACGTGGTGCCGCTCAGCACGCCTCCCCCCAAGCTCACCTTGCTCATGGCCGTCAGTGCAGGGTCGCAGGCAGCATCCAGGTCCTGAACCAACAGCTGAATGCTGCTGGAGATGACACTGCAAAGCAAGGAAAGGCTCTGGTCACCCTCGGAAACACGACTTCTCGAATGTCTGACACAGCCCCATCCAAATGCATGGAGCATCTGTGTAAAAATTAGATGGGCTGATTCACCATGTACGCTGGTACTGGTGAGGGAGAGTGAGGGACAGGAAGGAAGAGGAGGTCTCGAAGAGACACGAGGACAGAGGCGGAAGGGTCTGGGCACTTTGGTGGTGGTGAAGGTGCAGTGACTTTGTACGTCGAAACCATAAATGTTGGGGCCAGAGTGACAGTAGAGTGGGTAGGGCACTTGCCTTGCACGTGGCCAACATATGGTCCCCCAAGCAGTGCCAGGAACAATCCCTGAACAGAGCGAGGAGTAAAACCTGAACACTGCCAGGTATGGCCCATCCCACCTCCCCCTAAAAAAAAAAAAAAAAAAGTATTGTAAAAGTATAATAACAATGATAGGCATAAGTAGAAGTACTACTGATCCATCAAAAAAAAAATACCTCCATTTTCAAAAAGGAATTTTTGACCATGCATTTTAGCTTTTTCCTTTTCTATTCCTGGTTCTGTGAAGAAGTGTCTCCACTCAATCACAACAGAATTTCATGGCTAGGGGCTGGAGCCTTTTGCCTTGCAAACAGCGTTTGCCTTGCACGCGGCCAACCCAGGTTCGATTCCCGGCATCCCATATGATCCCCTGAGCACCGCCAGGAGTAATTCCTGAGTGCAGAGCCAGGAGTATCCCCTGTGCATTGCTGGGTGTGACCCAAAAAGAAAAAAAAAATTTCAAGGCTAGTGTCCTTCACTGCCATGCTCCAAATCGCTCTTAGCCTCTACCCCAAAGTGCCTGTATGCCCAAGATGTTTAAATCAAGACTTGGTGAGGGGCCTGGCAGGCAGAATGGAGGGAAGAGGAGAGAGTGGAGAAAAGGAAAGAAAACAATATGGGGGAAAAAAAATGAGTGTGACATAAAGAAAAAAATTAGTTCTCCTTAAGATGTGAAGTTTGGCTTATCCCAATCTCGTTTACACACCACAACAAAAATGCTGCAAGGAAACAACAGGGAAAGGATACTTTCAGGAAGATTTTACAGTTTGAATTTCTTGTACAGACACAGTCCCTACCTCCAAAACAAATACAGCACAGACAGACAGACAGACAGACAGATAGATTCAAACCCTGTGGGGCTAAAACTGGGCTGCTTATACTTGATATACTAAAACAGTGAAGATGGGTCCACTCCACCCTCTGTGAATGACAGGAGCAGAAAGGAGGTGTCAGAGCTGACCTCCCTGCAGGGAAGGCAAAGGAATGATCTTTTCTCTTATTCTAGACATTGCAAAAGAGAAGGAACAGAATGGCGGTATCTGAGGAGGTGGTGCCACCAACTTCTGAGTGTCTCTGCAGAACCACCTTCTCATCACAAGGCTCTTGGGAGCTCTGGGACTCTGGGGCAACCAGAAGCCAGGCTGGCATGCTCCTTCTTCAGAAATAAAGGGCAGCCATGAGGCCAGGGTAAGGCTCCGTGACGGAGCGCATGCCTCACATGCAAGGCCTTGGGCTGGACCCTTGACATCACAGAAACAATGAAGGCTGGCCTTGAGCAGATATGTGCGAGGTACATACGTGCTGAACGTGTCCATTTCTCCGGTCAGATTGATCTGTTCAGTCAGACTAACGTCCACTTTTTCTTTAAGTTTCTCTTCAAGCTATTAGAAAACAAGAGAAAAGCATATTTAATCATTACGCAAGACCAAAAGAATATTTACCGTCTGCTTGTGTTTGATGCTCTAGGTACATTTGAGGCACTTCTCAATTATTGACTCACATAATCCTCAGGACTCTATAAGGAACTCTATAACAAACTCTATAATGGGAATGTTATTATTCCCATTTTATAGGTAAGAAAACAGAGGTGTGACTGATCCGAGATACTAAGTGGTGAGGCCAGGAGTCAAACTCCCTCCAGAAACTATGTCCTTGGACTGGAGCGATGGTAACAGTGGGTAGGGCATTTATTTGTCTTGCACGCAGCCAACCTGGGTTCGATTCCCAGCATCCCATATGGAACCTGAGCACTGCCAGGAGTAATTCCTGAGTGCATAAGCCAGGAGTAACTCTGCGCATTGTCAAGTGTGACCCAAAAAGAAAAAAAAAAAAGAAGAAGAAATTATGTCCTTCAGCAGAGGGGCTGCACTGGCTTCTATGAACTACCAACAATTAGTTTCACGAATTTAAAAACTGGTTGATTTTTACCATACTCCTTGCTGATGAACTGCATGTCTGCTTACACTCAAGGCTGGAAGCCTCTGTGAGTGGGTGCACTAAAGTCAAATAGGAACTGAGCTCTGGGTCATCGGTCAGGTTAAAAGTATGTGGGGGTTGTAGGATAACGTTGGTTTGTCCTTTCTCTCTTGCTGCAGGGAGCTTAGGTTTATTGGGTCACAACCATCACAGTGCTCCTGAGGCACTCCCATTCCTCTGTGTTTATCTTTAACTTCTCTGTGCTCCGCTTCCCCTACCTGTTAATCACCTATATCCCCAAATGAGACCCTGTGACTCCTAAGGTCAGATCCTTCTAAGATCTCTGGATTTGTATTTGTAAGTGAAATATTGCTTTTCTCTTTCCTTTATGTCCTTTGCAGTTTACTTTAGAGCAATGTCCTTTTTGCATAGAGACAGGAAGACAGTTAATACTATTCGTTTATAACCTGGGAGTTAAATGACTCCAAATAATATTTGCTCCTGGGCATCTGTCATATTTATTCGACTTAAGCCTTAGTTGCCCTAGTACCCCAGAAGCAGGGTCCTGACAAAGGGACTGGATGGACCCAGGGCAAGCTATAAACTACTCTGGCATCGAAATGGGACAAGCCAAGTACTATAAAACTTATAAGTTAAGAGCACGGTCGTGGACAAATTCTGTCATGACCCAAAGAGTAGTGACTGGACAAGGACCCTGCTAGGGTTAGGAAAAACTAATCTGGCCTGAGAAACGTAGTCTTGGATCTATAGTGAGATGTCCTCAGGAGAGACATCCTTTAAGCTTAATATATCTCTTTACTGTGTCCATACAAAATAACTAGAAATATTATTAAGAAGTAAATTTAAGATGACTGTTTAAACGTATATGGACTAAGGAAAGGAGAAACATACCCTTGGATGAAATTCCGCCCTTGAGTGGATCTCCTAACAGGATGAGATCTTTGTCTCAGGAGAGCTTCCTGGGAAGGAAGGTCTTTACGTATTCAACATAGGTGCTAGCTCACCTATGTTTAGTTGCTACCCCCAACCTGGGAGGTTGGCCTCTTGACCAAGGCTGTGAGCCTGGGCAGAGACTAGCATGGGAGAAAGTAGGAGTGGGGAATAAGGCGCAAAGTGAGACTGGAACAGGTGCATAGGGAGAATGGAATAAATGGAGGGATGGAGACTGGAATAAATGGCGACTGATCCCCGACCAGCTTGGTGGCCCTGTTCCCTCCTTCATGTGTCTGCTGGCAGTGGCTGCAGGCCGGGGTGGGGAAGTGTAACAGTTATACAAATATAATGGAACAAATAAAACGGAACACACACGGCGAGAGTCTCTGTCTCTGTCAGCCTAGAACCGGAGAGAGCTACAGGGCCAAGTTCCCAACTGCCTCAAAATTGAAACAACGAGGACCTGTGAGATAGGACAGGGCAGAAGGTGCTGGTCTTGCATGGAGCCAACCCCAGTTTGATCCCAGTACTGCACAGGGTCACCAGGTAGCGCCAGGAGTGATCCCTGAACATCTCTGGTGTGGCCTGAAAACCGTAATAAGAAAACCTCTAACACTATAAAACAATAACAAGAAAAAACCCCCAGCTAATCAAGAATTCTAAATATCTCAAAATGTCTTGGGAAGTTTTGCTGCTCTTAATAGTTATATTTATTTATACTTCTAAATATTTATTTATACTTAATAGTTATATTTGTATAACTATTATACAAATTCTAAGAATAACAAATGTGTTCATTTAAAAATGCTCATAAGGGGCGAAGAGAGAGTACAGTGGATACGAAGCGTGCCTTGTACTTTGACAGTAGACCCAGGTTCCATCCCCTGGCATCCAAATGGTCCCCCAGCATCACCAGGAGCAATTCCTGAGTGCAGAGCCAGGGGTAACCCTGGATCTTCGGCAGGTATGGCTCCAAAACAAAACCAAACCCAAAAATTGCTCGTAATTCCCTTTTGGAAGGCAACTGATTTTTATTTTTTAGCTTTTGGGTCGCACCCAACAGTGCTCAGTGCTTACTCCTCACATTATGCTCAGGATCACTGCTAGTGGGGCTCAGAGGATCAAATGGGGTGCTATACCAGAAGCTGGCCACTTATATGGCAAGCACCTTACCCGCTAAAGTATCACTCCAACCACTGGAAGGTGATTTACTTGAATAGCAAAAATTTAAATGCACACACTCATGAAGTCAGCAATTTCACATTTAGAAATATATTTCAGGGGCTGGAGTGATAGCACAGCGGGTAGGACAGTTTGCCTTGTACGCGGCCAACTCGGGTTCAATTCCCAGAATCCCATATGGTCCCCTGAGCATCGCCAGGGGTAATTCCTGAGTGCAGGGCCAGGACTCACTCCTGTGCATCTCCAGGTGTGACCCAAAAAGCCAAAAATATATATATATATATATACACATATATATATTTCAATGACTGAGAAACAATGCATAAAGATAGGGAAGTAGTTTGTTTCTACAGAATTCACTAATAATAGCTAATATTTATTGTGGCAGGTTCTGTAACAGAATAAGGGGTTATTCAGTGAGCAGATAAGGTCTTTTTTCCTCAAGTTCACCTGCTACTGTAGCTTATATCAAACAGGAAACAGCCTACACATGTGATGACAGAAATGATGGTGAAGGCTTATGGTGCCTGAGGTCTTTCTCAGTCTCTTCCTGTTACACACAACTCCTAATGACTTTCCAGCCCGTCTCTTGCCTTCCCCTCTCCAAGCGGGCATCAGTTATACTGATGTCTTAAAGTTCTGGAACAGACCCAGGTCTTCACTCCTGGGGAGCCTTTGCTGTCTCTACTTCCTACTCCCCCTCCTGCCCAGCCCCTTTGCTGTGCCCCCCACCCCCTCGCCCATTTCGGCCACGCTCATTACTCAGCAGTTTGCTGATCCTAAACAGCCTCTCCCACCTGCTACTCCAGTGGGCCAGCCCCTCCCGAACTCTGCCACGTTTGTTTCCTTCCTACCACAAAATTGGTAGGAATTTTGGCTTCATTATCACCTGGCTTCACATTTTGGCTTGTCCTCTGGTTCCTCCATTACTTTCAAGTTCCATAATATCAAATGCAGTGCCTAGGGAGTGCTCAGGAGGTTCGGAAACAAACTTCCACCTCTTCTAAGTCAGGGGTCAGAGCGCTCTGCTGGCATCCTTACATGGTCTCTTTCCACCCCTGTGTGCTACATCTTGGTCTCTGGTCTGAGGATTCCAGTCACTGGTCACCCTAAATGCAGGATGATCTCATTTTTGCGATCTTTCCTGAATTCTACTGTCAAAGACCAACTTTCCAAATAAGGTCACATTTACAAGTATATTTATACAAATTGTGGGTGGGGCAGGGGAAGGCACATCCAGCGATGCTCAGGGCTTACTTTTGATTCTGTACTCGGGAATCATTACTGGTGGGCTCGGAGGACCACAGGGGACACCAGGAATTGAACCCTGGCCAGCTGCATGCAAGGAAAGCGCCCCGCCACTATACTATTGCCCCCACACTGCTTTAAAAAAAAAAACAAACAATAAACCGAATATGGCTCCTGAGTTCTTCCAAAATAGTTCTCATACTCTCTGATAACTTATCTTGATTTTTGTATGTCATGATATTCTAGGCTCATCTGCCCCAGGTCTGGAATTAGTTATTTCTCCAGGAATTATTCCTTTTTTTTTCTTTTGTTTTGAACCACACCTGGCAATGCTCAGGAGTTACTCCTGGCTCTGCTCTCAGGAATTACTACTCCATGTGGTGCTCAGAGGACCATAAGGGATGTCAGGGATTGAACCCAGGTTGGTCGTGTGCAAGGCAAGTGCCCTGCCCCTGGGAGATCTACGTTTGATCCCCAGCATCCCATATGATCTCCTGTGCACCTTCAGGAGTAATTCCTGAGCACAAGTGCCTTATTCACTCTACCATCTCTCCAGTTCCTGCCTCCTGTATTCTTGCTCTAGCTCAACAATTCCCAACCTTATTTAGCCTACTGACCCCTTTTTTAGGGGAAAAAAAAAATCACTCAGTGTCTACCCTGGAAACCTACCTTCTTTAAGAAGCGTCTAACAGGGGCTGGAGCAATAGCACAGCGGGTAGGGCGTTTACCTTGCACGTGACCGACCCAGGTTCGATTCCCAGCATTCCATATGGTCCCCAGAGCACCACTAGGAGTAATTCTAATTCCTGAGTGCGTGAACCAGGAGTAACTCCTGTACATTGCCAGGTACGACGCAAAAAAAAAAAAAAAAGCGTCTAACAGAAAGTGTCCCTCAATTATACCCAAGGCTACTACAGCCCACCTACCCTGGATTGTTCTAGCTGCCCCACCACCCTGTAGGGGTGGCACTGCGGAATTCAGGAAATACCACACTAGTTCCATGGAGCTCCAAGTTGTCGTGTCTAAATTATAATTTATGACGGTCTTCCTATGACCTGGACATGTGTAAATAATAACTCCCATCGCCCACTCCCCGTGACACACACACAAAGGAAAAAAGAACGTCCTTAATTATTTTCTTTCTCTTGGCCTTAGGTGAATTCCAGGCCAAATGTGAAAAGGAACTTCTACCCCTAGGTCTGAGGCTGGATGGAAAATTCTTCTGGGCCTTCCTTCTGCGAATGGGACCTCGAGGAGAGGCATCACCCTTTCCGGCTTCACGGTTCCTGAACGTCAGCATCTAAACAATGGTGACTTGTATAGGCAGGTCGAGAAGGCCAGGCAGATTTCAGGAGACAGAAAAGCCCAAAGGTTGTCGCCTCGCCTGGTTCCCCCCGAGAAGGGAGAGTGGCTGTGTTCCCCGCCCCCAAGGCTGGCTTTTAATACCCTGCAATGGACACTGCTGCTTCTCGCCCTGCTTCCGGGAGGGAGGGGGGCTGGGGGGCCCACACATCTCCGAGAAGGGCACCGGACCTACTTTCTTGCTGAATTCCTATTTTGTAACAGGGGCCCCCTGTGAGATGGCCGGGCCGGTCTCCGGCTGGGCAGGAAGTTTTCCAAGGCTGGACGTGGCCCTCCGTGGCAGGGGGCTCAGACGCTCGGCAACCATGTCACGTGGTGCCCGGGGCAGAGGGACTGGTGGTGGTGGCGAGTGGGCAGCCACGGCCACTCACCTGCTGGGTGGTGGCCAGACAGTACTCGGCTGTGCTCAGGATGCTGCAGATGAGGCACAGCTCCTCCAGCGTGAACTTGGCCACCTCCGAGCCCTCCTTCTCCTTCAGGAGGCTGCTGATGGTCAGCCCACCACCGCTGCTCGTGGTTCTGCGGAAAAGGAACAGCGGCGAGTCAGGCGGGCCCTTCTCGCTGGCTTCCTGAATTGGAAACTGCCCGTCTCAAGACAAAGGAAAGGGGAAAAGAAAGGCTGGACGCAGGCCAGACAGATGCACATACAATGAGTCCTTTTCCGCTTGACCTTACCTTGACTGTCATCTGGGCCAGTTCTCTGACCAGCAGGAACCGGCAGGGAGATTCTGCCAGGGGGTCGGTCAGTCACATCGTGATGACCGATGCATAGCACACAGAGGAGGCAGCAGGGAGGCCTCTCCATTTAGCTTGGAATTTCCTGCTCTGGAGAGGTCATTTGGGGTCACCTGAAGCGCCAAGGTGGGTTCCCCATTCATTTCTTAGTTTAAAAAAAGATGCTGTGAGGGATTTTTTTTTTAAAATTTTATTTTATTTTTGCTTTTTGGGCCACACCCAGCGATGCTTTGGGGTTGCTCCCGGCTCTGCACTTGGGAGTTACTCCTGGTGGTGCTTGGGGGACCATATGGGATGCTGGAGATTGAACCCGGTTGACCGTGTGCAAGGCAAACACCCTGTCCTCTCTGTACTATCTCTCCAGTCCCGCGAGGAAATCTTTTATATCGTGCTCTTGGAGGGCTATGAAAGTCAAGGTTAAGACTCAGTTTCCGGGCTTGGAGTCAGAGTTCAAAGGGGTGTGGTGCACGTCTTGCAGGTACAAGGACCCCAGCTCGACCTCCAGCCCTGCGCGGCACCCCAGAGCCCTGCTACACAAGAGCCCTGGCAACAGTGGCAAGCGGGCAGATGGCAGCATATTGCTGGACTGACGTTCACCAGCTCCTGCCCACAGCTGACTGCCGCAAGAAAGCACGAAGGATCTCCTCTCCCTGTTGCCATATCTAGAAAAATGTGAAGATGCAGTTATAGAACTACTTCACCTGCAGTTTTTTAAACATCAGAATTCAGTAACATGAATTTTAAAGTAAAAGGAATGATCCTTTAAAACCTTTTTAAGAGCTGGGGAGACGGCTGTAATACGTACACCCCTCCCTCAAAATGTCTCATTAAATTTTTCATCTTATTATTTTTTAAACTAATTCCTTTTGTTTTGGAGCCACATCTGGCTCTGTACTCAGTTATTACTCCTAGTATACTCAGGGGATCATATGGGATGCCGGGGATCAGGCCTGGGTTGACTGCATGCAAGGCAAGAGCCCGACCCGTTGTACTATCACTCCGGTCCTCATTTTATTTTTTAAATTAAAATTGAAAACTAATCTCCCCCAACATATCTCTCAGAATTAAGCGCGATCCAGCATAGCCAGGCACACATACCACAAGGGCCACTTTGGACCTACTGGGACCGGAGGAAGCAGACGGCACCTTCCACCTATGTGCTCATTCGACATCCACCGAATGGGGCTTGAGAGAAACCACCCACACTCTTTCATAGTGATTTCCATCATCACCCCCACATTTTCTTTCCTTTTTCTGGCCAACTTCCTATTGTTGAATCAATGTCAAATTAAATATCCATGTAATGGGACTGACTCCCTGGAGTTGGCCCTGGTAGGACCTGACCTAAGCTGGTGGGCAGGATGGACACTTCCTCAAATGGCTGGGGTCAGTGGCAGAATCCCATCAGAGAGGAAACAGTTTCGGGCCCCAGGGACTCGGCAAGGGTGTTTTCCTTCGTGACACTTCGCAATTCGGCAAACAACTCTGGAGTGGTTTTCTTGCAGATCTCCATATTTAGGCATTTAAAAAATATTGCTTCACCCCAAGGACCAGGAAGAACGCGACTCACTTGGGCAGACTGCCAGAGAGAATTTTCCAGGCGTATTCTCGGAGGTACTTCTGGAAAATGGTGGTCAGGGCGATCATGGGCTCCCCTGTGCTGAGCTGCGAGCACTGCACCATGCACTTCTTGTAGTAGACGAAGAGGTCAGCGCAGCTGGGCAGCACCGCACCCCCTTCCTCCGTGTTGGGCTTCGGTGGCCCCTGAGCTTTAAAGTCAGTCACAAACCGATCGATCAGTTCCCCAAGATTCCTAGGAGGAAGAGAATCCGAAAATATTGTTTTATTTCAAGCAAACTGTGCCTGTTTGCAATGTATTTCTGTTTCTTGACAGGAATATCATTCTGAATGCTTATGTTTAAAACCAGACCCATTTGTGTTACTCTTGTCATTGCCCGCCACCATCACTCACGAATACCAGAAAAAAAAAATGTGGCACTTTTGTGTTGCTTTTATACTTTTCAAGGAAAAAGATATGTGAGTTGCTGCTGCTGTTGTTGTTGTTGTTGTTGTGTGTGTATACATTTTCATTACTGCCCTCATGGAAACAATTAAGTACACACATACACATATTCTATTAAATTCATCATGCAATTTAGTGGCAGAGCTGAGCCTGAATCCAGTTTTGTTTTTTTGGTTTTGTTTTTGGGCCATATTCAGTGGTGCTCAAGGCTGACCCCTGGCTTTGTCCAAGGGATCAGGAGGTGCTTGTTCTGGAGGTGCTCAGGGGACATATGTGGTTCAGAGGATGAAAGGATGGAACTAGGGTGAGATGTCTTACCAGCTGTACTATCTCTCCAGCCCCTGAATCCACCAACTGAAATGCATATTGGTACCACACGTTTTTTCATAAGTGAAACTCTAATAATAGAGTTTTCGGAACTCTATTATATTATATTAATATACATTAATAATATTGTTTTCTGAACACATGAGATGTACTATGCAGTATGTCAGCACTTTATAAACATTATTTCACTGAACTTCATCGAACCTTCACAATAGGCTTACAAAGTAGATACTATACCCAACCTCAACTTCAAAAAGCAAGATGTGGGACTGAAGACATAGTACAGGGGGTAAGGAATTTGCTTTGCACATGGCTGGCTGGGTTTGATCCCCTGCATGGCACATGGGTCCCTAAGCACTTTCAGGAGAGATCATCCCTGAGCACAGAGCCAGGAGGAAACCTTGAGCACAGCGAGATATGCCGCCCTACACCCCACCCCGCGAAGCAAAAAAGAAAACTACGTAGGTTAAATACCTTGTTCAAAGAGAGGAGAAATTAGGATTCAAACCAAGCAGCCTGGCTCCAAACCTCATGCTTTTAGTTTGGGGGGCAGGGGGTGCAGTGAGTTTACACCTGGAAGTGCCCAGGGCTTTCTCTTACAGTTCTGTGCTCAGGGGTCATTCCTGTTGATGCTAGGCTACACGCAGTGCTGGGGATTTGAACAGGGGTCAGCCACAGCAAGGCAAGCTTCTCAGACCCTGTATTATCTCTCGGGTCCAAAACTTCACACTTTTATTTATTTTTTTAAATGTTATTTATGTATTTTGGCTTTTTGGGTCACAACTGCCCATACTCAGGGGTTACTCCTGGTTTTGCACTCAGGAATTACTCCCGGCGGTGCTCAGGGGACCATATGGGATGCTGGGAATCGAACCTGGGTTGGCTGCGTGTAAGACAAATGCTCTACCTGCTGTACTATCGCTCTAGTCCCAAAACTCCATGCTTTTAATCAGCTTTTAATCATCGTACCCTACTATACATTAAAGCGCAAAAAGTACAATGCCAGAAAATATTTATTTAAGTATCATTAACTCAAATGTACCCAGACACAGAGGTCGACCTAAAGAAAGAGAAAAACATAAAGAAAAGTCTAATTATTTTCTTCTCAACTGCAATTTCCCCCCCTTTCTCTTCAAGCTTCCAGAAGCAAAGATCTTATAAAAAAAATCATTGTGGGCAAAGAGAGGAAATGAGCAGCTCCAAGCCTGTGCCGGTCATGGGGGAGATGATGGCTCCATTCCCCCTCCTTCCCCCAACAATCCATTCAAACATCCCTGGGTTTGCCTGGACAGCACAGCGTCAAGGCCCTAGAGTCAGTCCAGCAGCACCGTCTAAACCACTCTCCGCACAGCTGTGCAGTGTGAGAAAGGGGAAGGTCCCTATGAGAAATGGCTGGGATCCACCCCCGTGACATTTTGTATCTTTTCTAGATGTGAAGGCTATAGGAACCCAGCTGTGTTTGTAAAATGTATTTATATAACCGTCGGGAGGAACAAGACAAGAACCACACACAGCATCAATTAGCAGGGATAGGAGAAAATTGACATGTTACTCAAGGGCTTTTGTTACTGAGTTTATTATATCCAGATGGAGCCACTCCGCCCATAAAGACTGCCGGTCTACAGGCCCCTGCCCTGGTCAGGAGCTCTCGGCTGATCGTGGAGGGTCCAAGAGCACCAGCACCACGGCTCCTCCACTGCCTCGTGTCCTGCCTCTCCCTTATTGCCCACCTCTCCTCCACAGGCCCCCTCCGCCCCAGCCCGACTCGCCTCTGCTGCCCGGCCCGGCTCTGCCTCTGTCCCCTCCCCTCGCAGCCCTGGACTCGGATCGGCCTGCCCGAGACACCGCTTATACCAGTCCTGTCTCACGCCTAACACACACGATCCTCCACTTTTTTCTTCTTTAACCCTCCACCATATGGTCCAAGAATGTCAAATATTCAAGAAATATGCCTCCTCCTGTGCAGGGTACACAGCAGGCCACACTCATTGGTCCTGGCTTTCCCCTCTCCTCTCTGGTGTGGTTCCAGGGGAATCTGGAGTCTGCACGCTAGCGTGTCACCTCTGGGGCAGGGAGGGGCTAGAGTGGCAGTACAGTGGGGAGGGCGTTTGCCTGGCAAGGGGTCGGCCCAGGTGTGGCCAAAAAAAGAAAGGATGAAGATGGCGCTAAAGGTTGTTTGCTCTAAGAACAACTCGAACGCGATCTTCTCTGCTTCAGATGAGCGACCGTGAGCTCCTGAGCCCAGGGACGAGACTACTGTGCCTCCTGCTTCCACCAGGCCCTCCTCTCAAGCTTACAGGTGAAGCTCACCCCCAGTTATGACTGCGCCCCATCAAAGATAATCAGTTGCTTGGCTGCCACATGTTGTTCCTAAGTGATGGGATGGAACAGGGAAAAAGTGAAGGGGGAATGGGTGAGGACTGGTTTGGGGTAGGAAAAAAACGTAAAAGGCGGAGAGAGATTCCCTTTGTGTTTTCTAACTTGAGTCTCTGAATCTATACTGCCAACTAAACAGGTCAGAAGTGTTTTTACTTTAATTATTCATCTCAGTTTCCCCCCACGAAGCTGAGAATATTTATTCACCTACCTTCCACTTGAGACCTAACCCAGTGAAGATGAGCATAAAATTAATTATGGTGATAAGAACATAAAGCAAAATTCTACTTCCAAAAAAAAAAAAAGCCTAAAGATCTTCCATTATGTTGCAGAATGTCCACCAGGCTACAAATGAAATAGGCTGCCTGCTTCCTCCATCCCTTCCACCCTGAGCTCCTACCTGCCTCTATGCCATACAAGGTGTCAGAAAACAAGGTACCCGTGTTTCACAGGATAAGAGTGCAGTTATCCCAGGGGGGATGGACAAGGCTCGGGAGTCTGAATAGACTGAAGGAAGAGGAAGAGGAAGAGTTTGAACTCAGGCCCCGCTGGCGCAAAGGGAGTGGGGAGAGATGGCAAAAGGGAAAGGGTTGAAGCAAGAGCAAATCAAGCTCGTTGGCGAAACCTAGCACACTGCTTAGCCTCCAGGGAAAGAGGAAGTTTAGCAGACCCTTTTTATCACATGTGCTGGGCTTCGTAAGTTCATTCTGGGAGGCGGGCGGGCAGAAGATGGGATCAGTGAGCAGCAGGGCGGGGCCAGGAAAGTCTCAGCCCAGCAGGCCTTCAAAAGTGGAACATAAACCTGCTCTCTTGGGGAAGGATGGAAAGGGAGGGTATACTGGGGACGATGGTGGTAGAGAATGTGCACAGGTGGAGGGATGAGTGTTTGATCATTGTATGACTGAACCTCAAGCATGAAAGCTTGTAACTGTATCTCACGTTGATTCAATAAAACAACAACAACAACAAAAAAACAACCCAAAAAAGAAAACAAACAAAAAAACTGGTCTTGAGGCCACACCTAGTGGTGCTCAGGGCTGACTCCTGGCTCTGTACTCAGGGATCATACTTGGTGGTACTCAGGGGACCATATGGGATCTGGGGCTGGTTGCGTGCAAAGCAAGTGTCCTTCCCACGTAACACTGCTCCCGCCGTAAGCCTCTCTTTAGGGGGCTTTTGCTAGACCACTTCATAGATGCTCCAATCCTACTGAGCACTAGGCACATGCAAGCTCCTGTGGGCTGTATGTCTAAGACACAAATACTGTGAGTGAAAAACAAAGTGAGCAGCGTGCCTGAAGTGTGTGTGCACTGCAATCAAGTGTGCGGTCCTAGTCATCACAACAATAACGAAAGGGAAAAGAAAGGAGGAAAAGAGTTAGCATTTCTCCCAGACCTGCGTTGGTCGCAGGCACTATCCAAAGTTTGGGCAAAATCAAAAAGAACTGCTGGAGAAAAAGAGACGCAGAACTGAGTGACCATGTAAGGGAAATACCACGGGTCGCCTCTTCTACCTAATGCAGTTAATTCCAGTTAAGAGTTAAGAGTCAAGCCAAGTCCTGGGGCCAGAAAGATAGCATAGGAAGTAGAGCATTTGCCTTGCCTGCGGCTGACACAGGCCTGATTCCCACCACCACATATGAGCCCCCTGAACCACCAGGAGTGAACCCTGAGAACAGCTGGCTGTGGCCCCAAATCACCACAAGAAAGGAGCAAACTGATCTAGGTGTTGCTTTGACCTTGCTGTGGAGCAGAGAGAGAGAGAGAGAGAGAGAGAGAGAGAGAGAGAGTTAATGATTTGCTACACTGTCAATCTACATGTTTCAGGAATAGGGCACTTACAGTGTGTGTGCATGTGGATTAATGATTTACCATTATTTACAATACTGTCACTATAAATGCTTCAAAAATACAATGCTGCAACCTCAGATTTGCCCCCAGGGTATTGGCTTCCCTCCACCACGACTTATAGTATTGAGATACCAACATAGCAAAAACACACTGATTTTGCCACGTAGATAGTAAGAACAATTTGGTTTAGACAGAGGACGTAACAGGAAACCAGTGAGCAAGTTTCACAAGACATTG